CATATGCTTTCCCAAAGGGAAAGCATTTCTTCTCAGAAATTAAAAATACTAGGTTGAACATGCAGCATGGAGTTCTTCTAAAAGCTTCAAATTATAGGGGTACATTTATTATTTATGCTTTCATAACAGCCCCTTCAATATTGCTAAAATCAGATATTGTTTCCAAATATTTGTGCAGTAAAACGACGGCACTCAGGGGTGGTGGGCGACTCAGGATTAGCGGTCACAGCCGAGCTAAGACCAGCCCCACCTCCCCCCGGTGCCCAGGTCCACGCACCCCCACACATAGCCCCCACACCATCAGGAAGCCCAGAAACGCAAGAGGCAGAACGCAGACTCCACAGCCAGATGGTCCAGGGCTGAGTTCTGCTGCGAATAGCTCTCCGAGCAGGAAAAGTTATTTAGCTTCTCTGGGGCCCAGTTTATCCTGCTTTTCAAATGTACAAAGCTTCTAGCTCAGTGCCTGGAACAGAAGACGTCTGCAGGAAACAGTACTTTCCCTTTGCTTTCTAAACACTCATTTATCTGCCTCCCCTCAGCATCCCGATGCGAATGTCCACTGAGGCATTTCAAATGTAAAGGGTCCCAAAACAAAGTCCGCTTCCTGCAGAGGTGGCGGGGTCTGCCACACACCAGCCTGGGCATCCCATACCTGTGCCCTCTCACCCCCACATCCGACCGGCAGAACAGCCCGCCACCTTGACCTCCACAACATACCCCCTACTCTGATGACACCTTTCACCTGTGCTGCTCCCGGTGGGTCTGAGTGGGCAACATGCCTCACTTGGCTCACTGCCACGTCTCCTGAATGGTTTCCTTGCTTCCTCTTATTCTCAAGTGGCCAGCCAGGATGACCCATTAAAAACATCAATCAGGGGGCGCCTGGGTGGCTCAGTCACTTTGACTCTTGGTTTCGGCTCAGGTCATGATCTCATGGTTTGTGAGTTCAAGCCCTGAGCTGGGCTCCATGACGACAGCACAGAGCCTGCTTGGGATTCTCTCTCCTTCTCTTCCTGGCCCTCCTCCACTGTACTGCCCCCCTCCCACACCCAATAAACTTAAAACAAAACAGAACACCCATTAGGTCACGTCCCTCCTGCTCAAAGCTGTACAATGGCTTCCCTAATCACGGAAGGGTAAGGCACAATTCTCCCTGTGCCTGACCAAGGAGGCCTCGGTGACCAGGCCCATCAGCCCCCAGCCATCCTGGGCTCATTCCATCCTATTTCTCAAACAAGCCAGGCCACAGGGCTCCCTAAATGTCACACCTGCCATTCCTAATACCTGGGACACTCTTCCACTTTTCCCTAGGCAGCTGGCATGGCTATTCTTACAACTTCTTCACGTTTCTGCTTAAATGTCACCATTCCATTAAATGTCACTTTTCCATTGGGCAAGCTTCCATTACTGCCGGATTTGAATACTGACACAATGCGTGTGCACACACACAGCGGCACTTCTCGTCTCCTCGCACTGATTTCCTCCAGAGCAAACGCTGATCACCATCTAATATACTGTATATTTTATTTGCTTATTGTCTGTCTCCCCCCACCACCCTGCTCAAATATACACTTGCCAGGGTAGAGGCTGGGTTTCTTTTATTCTTGCAACACTCCCAACAGTGAGGAGATGATCTGGCAACTATTAAGCTCAGCAATATGACTGAATGGGTGGGTCCTCATTCTCACCATCCATGGCACATCCGATTCTTTTTGCTGAGAATCACTGAAAATCCTCCAGCAGGTGCATCTGGTGGTAAGGGTAGGGAGGCAGACAGCTGCCATTTAGGTGAAGTCAAGGCTCTGGGGGCATGTGGACGTTTGCCCATGGGGCATGTGGATGTTGCCCATGGTGGCGGCAGAGCATGGGTCTAAGCCCTTACTAAAAGGCTTCTTACTAGTGTCTCCTTGTAAGTGGATTTAGGTGAGGGGAATTTCACAGCACTACAAAGGAGTCAAGCATATGTGATCTGGACACAAGAGCCCCAGATAACTAGCTGTTGTAAAACAGAGAAGAATTAACAAGGCCAAACTACATCAATGTCACTCAAAATGTTTATGGTGAAGGACACCAAGTGCAATTGCCTTCAAGAGAGGGGAACTCTCCCTTTTGGATCAGAACTTTCTGCATTCATGAGTCTGTCCTATGGGGCTTTCCTGCTGTTTCATGTCCTGACTACTAATCATTCCAGTTTAGAAAAGAAATAATTAAACAATAACAACAACACAAAGCTGTACGAAAGAGTGGCATATGGAGAAGAGGAGAGCTTGCTTATTTTCTTTTCACCTCCGTATTTTCCCAGAAAAGTTAGAGTGGGCATGGGAAAACCTCAGGTGTTTTTATACTCCTTTGCTGGTGATAGATAAAAATATAATGTAGCTTGCCTTATTTGTGAGCTCCTTGAAGGCAGGTGCTGTGTTCTTGACCGTTTTAAATAACAACAGCATCTAATATATTCCTCTGCATGGCAGGGGCCTAACAAATGCTAGAAATAAACCAATAAAAGAATGAACAAATAAAACGCAGCCCATTAACTCAGCTCCTTGCATTCAAGTGCACACCACCCCCAGCCCCCGCCGCCCCCAGGTCCCTGTCCTGACATTGGCCCATATACTCTGCTCTACCCCAGGATCCAAATCCTTGGCCAGCAAGCACCTTGGGAGCCTCCATTTTCACAGATGATATTGGGGGATTTAATACCATGATTATGCACCAGCACTACAGCAGATCCTAGCTGGGACAGAATAAATGGTACTTCCTAGCCACAATGCTACAATTAGTGACCACCTGTTCCAGTGATTTTGCCGAGTTACATTTCTCCAAGGGAGACTCGTAGCTTTAAATGCATATCGCGGGGTGAGTTTCTGGGGAAGCAGACTCCGATATGGAAATTAGTATGCAGGAGGTTAATTTAGGGAGTGGGTCTTGGGAAGAGCATCTGAAAAGAAAAAGTAAGAGGATTGGGCAGAGGGAGAAAACCAGCAGTGAGGGCTTCTCAAGAGAGTGTTAGACTCCACATTCCCCAGGAAGGGGACATGGTCCCAGGCATGTGGCTCTTCACCTGTGGCCATCCCCAAGGGGCTGGTAGCTGAGGGCCACCTGTGGGCAGTGATCCCAGCAGTTGGAGTCATACATCCTTTATTCCCAAAGAGGAATGTGGGCATCCACCACACACAACCACTTCTCTCCAGCAAGCCAGAGCACAATGACCACCTCCTCTGTGAAGCCCTCCCAGCTGCCTTCTCCGATCCCCTTCAGGAGAGGTTTCCAGAGCCCAGCATACCAACAACACCCAGTAGGGATGCAATAAATGTCTGCTGAATAAACACATCATGGAATACTAGATGTTAGCATAAAGATAGGAATATCATAGAATTATTTTTTATAAACTGTCCCCAAGGAGTTCAATGGAATCAGAAAAACAAGCAGAAATAATAGGGGAACTTGAAAAGAGATGTGCATGGACACACATACGTGCTCTGGTCTCAACTCTGGGCTGAACCCTGTATGCTTTCAAGCTTCAGTTTCTTTATTTGTGGCATGAAAGGACAGACCCCCAACATTCTATGAAGAAGAGACCAGAGCTGAGACACGTGATATCTTCATTAGTGTCATTACTGACATGGGTACGGAAAGTAAGTTTCGAGCCTCACAAGGGAAAGAGTCTATGGGTCAGACTGTCTCCCCCATGAGATGTTGAGGACTCTTTTCTTTTTCTTTTTCTTTTTTTTTAATTTTTATTTATTTCTAGGAGAGAGAGAGAGAGAGAGACAGCATGAGCAGGGGAGGATCAGAGAGAGAGGGAGTCACAGACTGAAACAGGCTCCAGGCTCGGAGCTGGCAGTCAGCACAGAGCCCGACGCGGGGCTCGAACCCACGAACCGCGAGATCATGACCTAAGCGAAAGTCGGACGCTTAACCGACTAAGCCACCCAGGCGCCCCGAGGACTCTTTTCAATTAGCCTAGAGCTAAGAGACCCCCAGAAAGCAGCAGGCCAAGCCCAGAGTAGGTGAGGAATTTATTATTTTGTCCATGAGTGGAAACGGAGACCAAGCGAAATGCCCTGTGATTCAGGAAAAGGCTGGGATTTGAAATCATTGAGTAGCATCTCCCCTTCATAGGCTAAGGAGCTAAAGAGAAGCAGAAGGAGAGATTTTAAACACAGAGGCCAGAATGCAATTTTAAAGGGAAAACTAAGAAATAAAAAGGGAAAAAAAACCACTCACTCCCAAATTTCTCTCCCATTGCATTTGTCTAATACAGAGAAGAATTTGTAAGATAATGTAATTTTAAGAAAGACATCTGGAGGGGGGATTAAAATTAAAGCCCGAGATCTGTGCTAAGCTGTCACTTCTCCTGGGCACCCACGCCAAAGTCAAGTACACCTAGTGGGCTCACAATTCCCCATCACATAATCTCATACACCTTGAGGCAGTGACAAGAGCCACAATAATAGCTAAGAAAAAACTAACCAGATAAGAAGCAACGTCTTATAAAGCCAAATGTATACACCTCCTGAAAATGATAAACCACAACACTGATGAAACCAAAAGCTGTAAGAACATTTTCCAACACTGTAATCAATACCCATCTCTACCACCTGACAGGCTTTCTTGGCAATCAAAGCATCATTTGATTAAAAAAAACAAAAAACAAAAAAAAAACCCAACACTGATAAATGCATGTCTGTCTCTACACAGGTTAGTCAACACTCAATTATCCATATACAAAATATACACATTTGACATTTCTCTCTTACAATGCATCCTAAATTGGGTTCTTCCTATGAACAGAGACCTTACCTCTTCATAAAGAAATGCAAACAAATTCGATTGATTTGAGCGTGTTTCAAATGCCAGCTGATACTTAACTAGATTTGTAATGCCTTGTCAATTAGCACAGAGTCACTAAGCGTCGGCCTCACGTTTAAAAAAATACAATCCCTCTTCTTGGCATGGCGACACCTTCAGAGATACCAGGAAAAATGGGCTACGATTACCTTTGAACTTATGGAACACAGCCCACAGCTCTGCAATGTCGGTGGCAAAGGTGATATCCGTGTCAAGCACAATGACTCTCTCCAGGTTGGCAGGAAGAGTCTTGGTCAGGACAAGCTTCATCAGACCATAAATGCCAGAGTAGTGTTTGTTGGGGATCCAGGAAACTTCAGACTACACCAGGAAGGGAAGAGAAGGAGTAGAAAAAAAAAGAATCATTATGTTCATTTTTTACATAAATATTATAAATAGCACCCGGTACATTAAAAGTATCTCATAAAAATTTGCGGAGTAAATGAACATTTTCTCAAAGATTTATTTATGTGACGTACAGTTTGACGTGTGAAGTTTTTTGGAAGAAGATGCATCTGAATCAAGGGAGAGGAAAAGCAAGATTTATGACATAACTATTACTTGCAAACGCTAGCCGCAGATATTTTGTAAGTAAAATTTTTATTACAGAAATTATAAGTAATTGGCTTCGTTCCCAAAGATGTTCATCACCATGTTAAAGAAACTGAAACAATCCAAATATCCCCAAACTGGACAGTTAATAAAACATACTTTTATTCAAACTATTCAATAGATACGAGCAATGTAGATTACGATATGCATACTATTCAATGGCTACAAGCGATGTTGATTACGATATGCTGAAAAGAAACCTGCATATGATGTTAAAAGAAAAATTGCAAGTTTTAAAATTGTTTTTGCTTAATAACCACTATGTATAATCAAACAGCATGAAAACACATCCACCCAAATTTATGCAGAGAAAGAATAGAAGCATGGCATCAAACTGTAATAGCGGTCATTTTGGGATGACAAGTCCCTCTCTAGATAAAAAGGTATGTATACTATACACGCACGCAGGCGCGCACACACACACACACACACACATTTTACTACACTTTTTTTTTAACGTTTATTTTTTAGAGAGTCAGAGGTAGAGTATGAGCAGGGGAGGGCCAGAGAGAGAGGGAGACAGAATCCCAAGCAGGCTCCAGGCTTTGAACTGTCAGCACAGAGCCAGACGTGGGGCTCGAACTAATAAGCTGTGAGATCATGACCTGAGCTGAAGTTGGACACTGAACCAACTGAGCCACCAGGGACCCCAAACTTTTAAACACTTTCCAACTTCTTAAAATTCTTTTTACCCTGCATTCTTCTGAAACATGCCCGCATCTGGTAATGGTGGGAAAACAGAGACACAGAGGCTGCCTTGGGAAAGCCATGGTAACTCACAATCCAGCCCATCTCTCAAACCCGCTCTGGGTTCTGCATTCACCTTCAGTGAATTTGAAAATACCATGTCAAGGGCGCCTGAGTGGCTCAGTAGGCTGAACATCCAACTCTTGGTTTCAGCTCAGGTCATGATCTCACGGTTTGTGAGTTCAGGCCCCGCATGGGGCTCTGTGCTCATGGCTCAGAGTCTGCAGCCTTCTTTGGCTTCTGTGTCTCCCTCTCTCTCTGCTCCTCTCGTGCTGTGTGTCTCTGTCTCTCAAGAATAAATAAAAAAAAAAGAAAAAGAAAAAAAGAAAATACCATGTCAGCTACTCCGTATCAGTTTTACAACAGTCCTTTGCATACATGCGCAATTTTGAAAGAAAAGAAAAGAAAAGAAAAGAAAAGAAAAGAAAAGAAAAGAAAAGAAAGAAAGAAAGAAAGAAAGAAAGAGAAGGAAGGAAGGAAGGAAGGAAGGAAGGAAGGAAGGAAGGAAGGAAGGAAGGAAGAAACCTTGAACTCTGTCGCCCTCAACACCATGTTCCCAGGAAGCAGGGAGGAGGCAAAGTAGAGACAGAAGGCAAAATGTGAACCCCTGTCCCATACAAGCAGTTGATCTCTCTAAGCCTCAGCTCCTTTACCTGTAAAATGGAGGTGATGCCTACATCACATGGTTCACAGAAAAATTAAAGGAGATTAAAGGGTGTGAGGGTTCAGTACACAAAAGACCCTCAGCTCATAGAAGCTCCCACCCTTCCTCCTTATTCCCCCTCATCATGTCCAGGATTTAGACAGCCATGCCTCTTTGTTCATTCCTGAAAAGGGGGGTGGGGGCCCAGGGTTCTGGAGTTGGCACACCTGGATTCAGATTCTGGTGTCCCTTAATCACCATGTCACCTTGGACAGGTTTGTTCAGCCTTTCTGATCTCCTGTCACTTATAAAAGGCAGTTACTTGTCCTGCTTGCTGCACTGTATTGGGTGTAGGTGGAAACAGCACACTCCAACTGGGTAATCTGAGGAAAATGGGATAATAAAAACGATTTACCAAAGCGTATGTGTAATTTAGGACCAGTTGTGAGGCACCGTGTGGCACCCAAGAAGATGAAGAGTGAGAGGCCGTTACCACCCAACGCCTGAAGGGCTGGTACCAGCGGCTGTTGGAATCTCGACAGAGCAGCCATACGAAGAAGTCACCAGGCAGGAGCAGTGAACTTCAGTAGAGGGACACGGCCAACCTGTGGCAATCTCACAGGACGGAGCAGGGAGACACATCTCACTCCACCTCTCTCCCCTCCTACCCACCAACCTCCTGCGAAGGTTCGCCTCTGTACAAACCCAAATGGAAGCCAGAAGGAAAGGCATGGCCCTATGCAGCAGCCTTGCGGGGCACGAAGTAGGGTGAAGGGCCAGAGAGGCCCCGGAGGAGCAAACCGGATACATCCGGCAGTCATTAAACTAACCACAGTCAAGACCAAAGTGCAATGCCTTCTACATGACAGATGCAAAATGCTTTCCGTGATGGGAGGTAGGTGGGTGCATAGAAGGATGGGCAGGTGGACAGATGGACCGATGGCACAGGAAGGTGAGTCGTGTGCCCACAATCCCACCGTGAACAGGATGTAAAGCTACAGTGAGAGCCTGCCAGGGAAAAGCTTGCATTCCTTCTCCACGTTACCCTTCCTTTGACGTGAGCAGCCTGACTAGCTGTCAGCTTAGATCGGAGGTCTGGGGGCTCCTCAAGGAAGTGCCTCCAGTGGGCTTTAAAGAACTCTTCTTCATGAAAGCCCCGGCGTCTGGAACTCAGCTCAGCTTCCTCTCTCCCCTGAGAGCCTTCCTGAACTGAAGCCTGGCAATCACGGGTCCACGCGGCAGAGCTGTGCTATTTAATCAGACCTTTGATTAACTTATTCATCTATTTTGGTTACCATCAAAGCCAGAGAGCTTGGTGAAGACTGAACACCAGAGCGCTGGGCTGAGCCATCTAATTAGATTGCCCCGACTCTCGGCTTTATTTTTAACACACATGTGAGGCACTCAGATGCATCACAGAACAGTAGGGAGACAGGAATAAATTAATCTCAACATGAGCCTAGGCCGGAATGTTGCCCCAAGTCCCCGACTTAATACATAATCAATTAAGTCAGAGTGTTCAATTAGAGGTAAAGGAAGCATTCGAATGAGTTTGTATTCAGAAAGAAAACCCCAGAAAGAAAACCGAGGAATCTACAGGGGGAAAGAACGTGGGGTAAGAACCAGATACATTTATTATAAATGGCGTTCTCTCTTAGAAATAGAATATAACATGGCCCCCCAGCCCCGCCTTACTCTAATCCTGCTCTTCTTCAAGCCTCAGCTTAGAAGGTACCCCCCCACCCCCCACCCCCGCCAGTGGCCACCTCCCCAGGGTCCCAGGCTGGGCACGGGCCCCTGGAGCAAGCTGCTTCCCTCTAGCATAGCATGCTCTCATGCTGTGTCTAATTTTCCATGTCTCTCAACAGCTCTGGGCTGGAACTCCCCGAAGCAGGGCCGATGTCATTTTTTGCTGTGGTAACAACCACAGTCATTACTCAAAAAAAAAAAAAAACGTTTGATGGACATGCATGACTGCCAAGTTTAAATTCTACCTTTGACGTTCCCTGCAACTTGCGGCAGAAACATCCCTAATTGCTCAAGTCCAGGGTCGGAACAGTGCAATGGAAGAGGCATGGCTCGTTGAGCCCCCAAAAGCCTGGGCTTTAGCACCATTCCATCCTTTCACCTCGGTGAGGCTTTTCTCATCTGCAGAATGGGGGGCTTGGAATGCTCTCTTCACAATGTTGCTGGGAGAAAGGCAAAGCATCCAGCCCGGGGATGGGCACCCAGGTGGCCTCCGCGAAGGCCACTTCTCTTCTGGGGAAGATCTGTCCGTACTGTGGAGTCTTAGGTGATTCGGGGATGTTGAGTTTGATAAAAGCAAGAAATAATGCTGCCTTTGATAGTAAAGGTAAGTCAGGAATGAAGATGGTTTTGTCACAGAAAAAGGTTACTCATCATCACCTTTCCCTAGAGTCCTAAATAGATGATTAACAAAATCCTAAATGGAGATCTCATTGGAAACTCAAAGCCTCTGCTGGTCGATCTCCAAACTGGACAGGATACCCTTGGTGTTAGGAGGAAAAACCTACTTATCCAACAAATTGGATGCAAGTGGTCACCCCTGGAACCTTTGGGACAGTCTCTCGGTGTAACTGGTATCAAATCTCACTCCCGTCCTGCAATTAACTTCAGTCCAATCAGAGACATTAAGTCATAGGGTCAGTAGGGAGACCATCCTCAGAAGCACACTGCAGAGACTTGGGGGCGCACCACGCAGACTGACCTCAGAGAATCCTAGAAGATGACATCACCCAGCAGAGCAAGAACCGAGCATGTGCATCATTATAAACACACCGAAGGGTTTATGTAATTAAAACAATAATAAAAATGAAAGTTAGGTTTATTTTAATGGACAATTATCCTTGTAATGGCTGTTAATAATTCTAAGCGGCGTGTTCTAAGATTTAATTAGCAAAAATGCAATTGTGCTCAAGAATACTACCTAATGCACCTATCACGGAGCATTAGCAATCACAGGTTTTCGGGATTTCTAAGCAGAGGACGGGGTGGGGGGGGCGCCCTCAGGGAACATTCACCTTCCCCAAACTGCCAGTTCCTTGCCAGGCAGATCCCAATGGGGAGCTTTTATGAAGCTACAGGTGATTTTAAGGTTCATCTGACGCCAGGGGATCCACAGAGAAGTTGCTCAAAAAATCTGACCAGGGTAGTAATGGGAACACGGAAGCACAGGGTGTGAAGAAAAGTGATGTCTCATTGCGAGGCCAGGCTCCTGACCTCTGACAGACATGGGAAAGACAAGAAGAGAGGTTGGTTTTATCAAAGAATGGTTCTCATTTCTTCTTGAAGACGTTGA